TCATTTGTTTGTAGATGCATAAAAGATATATATATATATATATAGATATAGATAGATAGATACATACATACATACATATGTACATACATACATACATGCATGCATGGCATATATATCTGTCTCAGGCATCAGACTCCCTCTTTACCACAAAGTTCATTCCTTGTAGGATAGTTGTTCAAATTCCAACTGCTACTTTAATATATATGTTGATGCAAAACTGAGCAGAATAGTGATGGGTTGAATGTTCCCAGGTGCATGGAAGAATGGGGACATTCTTTTCCATAAGAGACTAAAGTCAATGACAGGCATGGTTCAATGCAGAGGCATGTCCTCACTTCCTAGAAACTGTAAGAATATAGCATTAGGAATGGAGCACTCTCCTAAGCAAACTTAAGAATGGCCCACTATCAAAGTGTGTAAAATTGCTGAGTGTCTTTGTCCCATTTCTCCTGTTGCATACTTGGATGTGAATTGAATGCTGAGAAGTCAGCAGTTCCCCAGGATGATTTGTTTAAAGGCACTTCATTTCCAGAGAAGTTATAGAAGAAATCAGTAGGGAAAGGGTACACCCACATTTTAGAAACCAGAGAAAATACACAAAGAGGCTGTTAGTTTACTTTTATATAAATGTTCAGGTCAGTTCTTGTTTTGATTACAATTCTGTTTTGGAGTCCTGATGGCTGCAAAATCCACTCAAGCCTCATTCTTGTGGTTTCCAGCATCTTAAGAGAAGAGCTCTTTGAAAGGAGTTACTGTCCATAAAACTCAGCCAACTAGTATTTACTCAAGATACACTATAGAATTTCTTTCAGTGTCCCTGTGTCACTTCACAAATCAGGTCTTGAATGAAAAAATTCTTTCCTCTTAATCTTTATTTCAAATTAATTATTTAAATTATTGTTAATAATAATTATTGGAATTTATTTTCTTACATTTATTAATGAGGAAATGTTACAACTCTCAAGAAGCCATCTAATGACTATTTCTAAAATCTTATATAAAAAATGGAAAAAATGGATCTGTAAATTAAAGTATCCAAAATAACCAATAAATGCAATGCATCCTGCTTAAAAGTAGTAAATATGTAAATTGCAAAAGTACTTAAATGAGGATGATTGTTAAATAAAATCAACATTTTAATAAAATGTGGTCTAAATGCATAAAACATTCTTCAATAATAGGTCAATAAAAGCAATATTAAAGAAACAAAATGGGTGGTCAGATGGATAATGTGAAATATTCATTTTTTAAACAATTTTATTAGTATGTAATAGTTTTACAGGGGCTTTTGTTGTGACATTTCCATGTATGCATACAATGCACCACAGTTAGTTCATGCCCTCTATTACTCTTCCTCTTTCCTCTTCTCCCTTCTTAAAATGACTTTGACAGGTTTCAATGTTCCACAATGCAATAATCATTAATATTAAGTAGAACTAGAGGGAAAATGTATTTTCCTTGAAATAAAATGCATAAAAACCATTGTTTTCATTTCATTAAATCAATGTTAACAAAGAGAATTCAAAAGCCACAGCAATCAAATTGATTTAATGCAGAATAAAAGGAATATCCAGTACATATATTTTATGATGCTACTTTAATTTGTTGAGTTTTGGAAAGATTAGGTTACTATTATTATACCATTGAGCTTAAAAATGCAAATGTCTCAAATCACCATAGTGCATGGAAGATAATGTATATGCTTTTAGCATCTGTACTATAAGTTGCTATTACAAGATCAGGTGCATTAGTCTACTGCATCAGATTTAGCAAACTCTGTATGTCTTAACCCCTTCATGGTTAGTTTTGCAAAATCCACAAGCAGTTTTGATAAGCCTGTAAAAAATAATAAAGTTGTCCTTCTTAGACAGGATATGTCTGATGTGGTGATTATGTTACCCATAGAGTATGGTAGAATCATGAGTTTATTGCAGCTGCTGAACTGCAAGAGGGCTAACAAAATAATCCTACAGTTGTCAGTATTGAGGGGACAGACATTAGATGGATGGATAGATACAGAGATATATAGACAAATTAGACAGATAAATAGCTACATAAAGCAGTAAGATCTGAGAACATGAGAGAAGCATTCAGATGAATAACTTTGAAATCATACTAACACAAAAGAATAACTGCTGTCTTAGTAATTAAATGAACTGATTCAACCATGAAATCAAACACGCTCAGTACTTGGGTTTCTCTGCTTATTATAAAATCCAGATTGTTTGTCCAACAAATACAATTATTATCTTCAATGTTGTAATTAAATAACATTCCAAACAGTGTTGTACTATTGTGGTGAAGATCAAGAAGGGCCAGAATAATTTTATTTACAATGTTTTTACTTAGTAATTGTTCATATAATTCTATTATATATACCAATAATGAGTAATATTTTTATCATTGACATTGTTAATAGTTAATATTACAGTGTTATAATAATTTCACTTATGATTCTTTGAACTTTACAGGAATTCTGTGAGCTGGTTATTATTATACTCATAATCTTAATGAACATAGAAAAAGTAAGATATTTGCCCAACTCTGTTGTTTATTATCTGTGTCTTAAGGGGCAAGTTCAAATCCAAATATTCCAATTGCTATTAAAAACACTATAAGGGGGTACAGAAACTTTTATCTTAGCTTCTAGTGTAACACCTGAAATGTTACAAAATTTTTGAATAAGAAGATTTTGAATGTATGTTCTGAATTATTTTATTTTCTAATCAAGTAAATTGGGGTAACTATACCCACTTCATAAAATTATTGTTAAAACTACATTTACAAAATGCTATTTAAATTATAAGGCTGCTTGGTCCTTGACAATTATGTTCCTCTTCACCATTTAGACTATCTTTTTTGTTTTCTTATTTATTGGTGGGACTGGGGTTTGAACTCAGGGTTTCATGCTTGCAACGCAGGCTCTCTATCACTTGAGCATTCTTGAATAACAGAAATATACAGATAAGACACCCATTTCTATTCATCCTCAGTTTTCACACTGAAAAAAATTCAGCATAATTTTTCATGGTGAATATGGTATTTTAATGTTAATAAAGTTCTTCTTTATGTAGTTATGCATTTTGGTCTTAGATTTGTGATGTGTTTTCTAATAATTTGCACAAAACTATTAAACTTTTTTCTCACAGCTATAATACATGTTCTTCCATTTAATGAAGAGGATACTAAAGCCCAAAGAAAGTTAAGTTTAATGGGTCAGTGAGGGTATCAGCATACAAGTTTTAACCTTCTTTGGACTTAATCATTTGTTCTTTTTATTCCTTTCCAAATGTGTTTGGGACAGTATAAATTTGATAAAAGAACACATTTTATTTTATCCACTTTCATTTAACCAAAAACTGTTTTATACTATTGCAGCAGGCTAGAAGTAGGGAAAGTTTGGAACTGAAATGTAGATTGCCCAAGGATGGCCCAGAGCATCCTCACATGTCTGGGAACCCCCCCGCAGATCCCTGCCCACTCATTGATTATTGGGCAAAAATCACATGGTTTTTCCCTTCCCATAGATTAGCATAAGTTTTAAAAGTATCTAACCAGAGAAGCTCTCTGTCTCTCTGCTGGCAGACTTCATTTGCTCCCACCATGCTCCCCTCTGTATTTTCCTTTCCCTAACATTTAATAAACCCCATTTACGCCCACGTGTCCTGCCATGGATTCTTCCCTGCAAGACACAAAGAATTTGGAAGTCTTCTGATCATAGACTGCACCATTGTGGTTAACAATATAAAGATACAGTATGACTTATAATTGACCTACTCAGTCTCCTGATCATAGAGTCACTCTCTTCTGAACTATCTTCTTAAGGTTTTCTACATTGATTTTGGCTTGCTTCAATTTTAGCAACAATTCTGCTAACCAGTTTTGTAAAAAACATCCCACCCTTGGTATTTAATCAAATTCCTTATCCCTCTTCAGTTCTTATCACCTTGATCTCCCTTCAACAATAATGCTATCAAATCAGTTCAGTTAGAATTCCTTTTACTCCTGACACTCCCTTTTAGTAAATTTCTACCCACTTACCCTCTCCAACCAGCTACTTGACTACAAATCTCCACTTGTCTTTTAGATTAGAGCTGGATTTCTCTCCCCTCTTACAAAACCCCATTGCAGTACTACTCCTCCTTAATAAAGACTGATTTACAACCTTTAGTAAGTGTTATGAGTAATTTTTAACATACCTGTATTTAATATGTAATTTTTAAAGATAAATTTCCCTAATCTACCCTCCTTCAGCTGCCCCCAACAGTGGTGCCAGATTGAGACCTTCCTTTCTCCTGTATTCAAATCCCATCTCTAAATCCTTCTACATACAAACATCATTTTAGGCAACTGCTACAAATTAATCAAGTTGTCCCTTGATAATAACTATATATGTAAGTACACATTCACAGGTTGATGTATGTTTTTAGGCAGCACAGAGGATGTGTTTCTTCTAAATTACAATGATTAAACTAAACAAAACATTTAAACTGACTATTTTACAATGCATAGTATTCATTTTTGGCTTCACAATGCCTAGAAAAATGTCAGCAACATCAATACTTATTTTAAAAATGAAAGGAAGGAAGGGGGAGAGGGAGCAAGGGAGGGAAAGGAATGTAAAAGAAAAAGTTACAATTTAATCATGACTTAGAAATGGAATCATTTCATATCTTTCGAGAGGAATTAATATATGTAAATCTACATACACAAAGAAGTTGACATTTACTACAAGCATATATACAACAAAATTGCATTTTGTTAACTATCCTTTGCATATATAAATCCACAAAATGATTATATTTTTGCTTTACTTAGGAAAATTGTTATTGTTACCCACTATCTTTGCATAAAACTCACAATGTGTTTAGAATGTTATAGTATTATTTTATTCTTCAAAGAGTGATTAAGCCCATCAACATATGTTTACTAGAATACTGAACAAAAATAGATGACAGAATAATACATTATTTAGAATAATTAAGTAGTTTGATGCTTACCAGGATATCTTTCCCAGCCCACTTGCATTCATCTCTTCTGGTATAAGATACTGGCCACACAATCTAGGGACAGAGAAGAAGCATTACTTTGTGCCAATTAAGTTCACCGTGAGACCCAATGTGGCATAGCCTTTTGGATTAGGTTGGGGTAGCTGAGGTAAAGAAACTTCCACAAACCATTAGGGAACCTTTCAGTTTAGACTTTCTATGCACATCTATCCAGTATTATTTGCAGTATGTATTCAATAGATCTACAGAGTGTAGGGGGTGGAAAGAATGGTCACACAGGATGGGAGAGGCAGGTAATCTTGGGAGGATGTGAGAATCTACAGAAAAGGTATAAACTGGCATAGAACTTGGCTCATATTCTATTAAATTAGTATTTCTCAAGAAATAGTGATTTTTGAAATTTTAATAGTGGGATGCTCTGGATCGATTTCTCAGGTTAAAATCTCAGGACAATATGCTAGAATGAGAATTAAAATGGTTAGAAAATCTCAGTTTACAAGAGTTCCTTCTTTCTTTCCTTCCTACCTTCCTTCCTTCCTTCCTTCTCTCTCTTTCTTTCTTTTCCTCCTTCTCTCCCTTCCTTCATTTGTTCCTTCCTTCCTTCCAATTTTCTTTCTTTATGAGAAGGAAAATACTTAAGGGCAGAACTATATATTTTGGAAAAATAAAGGTGACTCTGAAGAAGCAAATACATAACTTTTAAAAATTTTACCCTCTTATTTTGGACTAACAAACCAGTTGAGGAATAATTGTTTGTGTCTTTATCGCTAATACTTGGCTTCATTTTCCAAGGGGTTCCATATTTTGTGAATACAGTAATAGTAATAGAGGAACCAAGATATACTGAATATATTTTTCTTCATAATAATAATGTAAATACTCTAATTTTAATACAACATTTTCCAAATCCCCTGAACATTCTAATGAGTCCTAATGCATTGGGCAGAACAATTTATTTTTCTTTATTCAGTTTTCTCTTCTTCGATAAGTAATTAATTTCAGAGGAAAATGTTCATTGTCAAAGAAAAATCCAGAGACAGTGACAGTTCATCAGTCTTCTGTTCTGGAAAGCTTTTAGCTTCAAATGATTGGTTACCATTCATTTGGGGACCTTCAGATAATTCAATATAAATGGTCATAAACTTGGGCAAAGGTTGTGATAATCAATCCAGGAAATTAAAAATGAGAATGCAACACATCTACAAACAAGATAATGAAATAACATACGGCACCTTGATGAATGTATTTCAAGTTCATGTCACAAATGTGAAAGATTTAAGAAAACTGGGGTGCATTCCTTTTTATCATTAAGCTCTTAATTTGCATATACTTTTTTATGTGCTTTCCACATATGTCTGCATATCTAAATTAAAGTTTTTATTTGACTTATTCAGTAAGCTTTTTATAAAGTAGTCACATAACAAAAACTTTCAAGAACCGTGAGAGTATCATCCTCATAATTCACATTACCTTGACTCCTGCTATTCTAGAGTAATTTCAAGACCTCCCACGCCACAGGTCTGCTATAGAAGGTCAAGTAACCTATTCTTAGTAACATTTACACAAGAGGAGGATAAAATATAAATTTTCTTTAGGACACAACAATAATAATATATAGCAAAGCTATGATTTATTGTCTGTCATATTTAACTTTCCAGCTAAATTATGATAAAATCATAGCTTTTTAAATATGTATGCTTGTATATGTAAACATATGCTTATTTTAAAGAGCCAGCTCTTCTCCCATCATTTCCTAGCTTGTTTTTGGTTGTTGAGCTACTAGTGGCCTCATTTCATGGTCTCACCCTCATGCCAAAAATTAATAAAAACAATTTTTATATTCATGCTATATTCTATTTTTCTCCTTTGTCAAAAAATTTCAGTTAACTAACAATGTCTAAATTTCTTACGTCATTATTCAAAGCATCTCATGATAAATTTTGCACTTATTCATTGTAATCATCCTATGCTTCTATTGAGGACAGGCCTTCTTACTCAGATGTATTTGTTGTTTGTTTTGCTGAGAATTGAACCTAGGGCTTCACATATTGTAGGCAAGCACTCCACCCCTAATCTATACCCACAGATCCCTTACTCATGTTCTTAAAGAAATGAATTCCTTAAAGAGACTGTATCTTTTTATGAAGCAAAAAATCTTCCCATGTTTCTTCCACACTTGACAATGGGATTTTGCCATTATAAGTGGTTGGCTTAGATTTACCTTTAAGTTCACACATCCTTGCTTTGTTCTCCTCTTTTCTTTTGGTGGTGGTAATGGGGTTTGAACTCAGGGCCTCATGCTTGTAGGCAGGCACTCTACAACTTGAGTCACTCCACCAACTTATCTTTACTCTCCTCTTGTAAGGTTGGCAGGAAGAATTATTAAGGATGTGTGACAATATCTCCCATGGAATTTATTATAAGTGTGGATGCTTAGAAAAATGTTGCTCAATATTATATATACATATAGGCTTAAAAATACCAGATATAAATGAACAGATGTAAGCTTAAGTAAATTGGGTTTACTCTTTTTAAAAAATGTTATGTAATTAAAATTAAACATTCTGTTTTTAATGAATTGTTTTAAAACTGGAAATTGGTCTTCCGTTATTAGAATAATAATTTAAAAATCAAAGAAAAAGCTGTAATAAGAACACTATGAGAATGGACAAGTTACTTAGCTTCTAATTAATTTGTTAACTCAAATATATTTATTACAAGTCTAGTTGGTAGTAAAACTATAATATAAGCGATATGTAGCATAATGTACTGTGTACTGTGATTATTTATAAACCCATGCTAAGTACATATGGCTTTAGGATTTGTTTCAGTTATAAAATAGTAGGTTTCTAATATGATGATTTAGTTTTGCAGTTTTAAAAACAATTTAACATACTAACCAAATTCAGAGTATTTATCAAAAAAAAGTTAAATAAATTAAGCATATAGTTTGAGGCAATCTGTGCTCTTATTCTATCTATGTATCTATCTATATATAGACATATGAATTTTACAAAATGATAAAAACATAACATTGATAATTTTAACTGATATACTTTCCTAAAATTAAAATTTCAAATTTTTCATAGTCAGATTACACATTTCCTTCACAAATAATGGTTCCTTTTTGTAAGAAAACTAGTAAATTCTACTTATTTTGTGGCCTTTTCAAAAAACTATGAGACAAAGGTTTTCATTTTTTCTTTTTCTGTTCTTTTTTTTTTTTTTTTTTGTGGTACTGGGGATTGAGCCCATAACCTTATGCTTTCCAGACAGGTGCTCTAATAAAGCATTCTACCACCTGAGCTATGCCTCAGCCCTTCTCTGTTTTAATTGTTTTTCAGACAAGGTCTTGTATTTTTGCCTTGGGCCAGCCTTGGACTGAAATCCTCCTACCTATGCCTCTGTGTAGCTGGGGTTCTAGGCATGTACCAACATGCCTGGCCTTGAAACAAACATTTTTAGCATTTCAGAAAAACATATCAATAACAGTTTTAGATTACAGATAATCTTAGACAATATTTCTATCATCTGAAGAAGAATTAATACCAGGGTGATTTTTAAGTGCCATATCTTAACTATACATTATGTCATAATTCTATTGCCATTTTATATGACTATATAGAATGTATCAAATCTCTATGACTATGTCATAATTTTAGTGTTTAGGTAATAGAAGAAAAGGTTAAGTCTCAGGTTTGATGCTATCCCCTGTTAAATATATAAATCAGCTTTGAATAAAACCCTTATTTTGTTCCCAAAGCAACATTTTCCAAGCAAAAATAAAGCTTTCTGCCATTCAGTCACTTTGAGAAGTTATCATACAATTTGTTATTGTTTATGAGTGGTTGAGAAACACCAGTTCAGAGCCCTTAATGTTAGGAAGCAATACTGACACAGATTCCAAAAGGTATGCATGCCAAAAACAATGCTGTACTATGATTCCCATGAAAGCTATTGCATAAAAGTCTTCCAGCCTCAGGGAATTTAGGACTGGAAAAACTGACTGAGAAATTATTATCTCAGGGTATTGCGTGTAGACTTAGTAACACAGTTTCTACTACTTTGTCAATTCTTGTTTATTTTCCAAACTGTATGACTTATTAATAAAATAATCCAGAAGCAATATAAGCAACAAGGTTAAAATTGTCATTATTCTGATGTCTAGGTGACTATGCAAAAACCTGATGCCTTGAAAAATGATCTTCAGAATCAGGGTTTGCAAGCTTTTGTTTAAAAGGACAGATAGTAAATATTTCAGGCTTTGTGGGCCAGATGGTCTCTCACAACCACTCAGCTCTGCTGTGGTAACATAAAAGCAAACATAGAAAATATATAAATGAGTGAATGCCTATGTTCTAATAAAACTGTTTTATAATGTAATCTAGGTGGAACATCAGATCACACATGTGAGGAATTGTTTGATGAACTCTGAGCTTGCTGGCAATATAAAGAGATGTATAAATTTATACACATACATATACATATATATAGAATATGAACTCAGTTCAGGGATATTTCTATAATAGTTCAGGTATTTACTTTTATGCAGGAAAAATTATATAATTATAGAAAGATAAACTAAATTTAGTATTTTTCAGACTAACCGTTGAAAGTACTATGGTTTTCTAAATGGTGATTTTTATGGCTTGTTACGTCTGTTGGTTTGTTATTGTTATTCTTTTTTTGCATTTGGAAATATAAAATATTCACTTAAAACAATTTTCTGTAAATTGTTCTGATGTTAAATAGGCAGAGAATTCTATGTAACTTAAGATGTTTCAAGAGAACAATGGTGCATATATTAGAATAAAAGTACCTTTTGAAAATCCTTGATATTAACCAGATTGAATGAAAATATGTGATCCTTTGCTCCAACATACAGTCTACTCCGTTCCTCATCCAAAAGGAAAGTGTGATAACTGGAGCTGTTGGCCAAGCCATTGAAAGTGATCACATTGTTGGATTCCAACATTTCTGCAAGGTAACAAAACAAGACATTGGGCGTTAGTGTGACGTTCCACGTGAGCAGACTATCAGACATGGTTATCTGGTTGCTGCTCCAGTTAGCAATTGTTTAGTGCTCATTCTTCAGGACACTAAGAAATACATAGGAACCATTTTTTTTTTAATGTTTCATTGTATTGAGAATGAAATACATCAGTTTCCTCATTTCATACACCAAAATGGCACATTCCTAAACAACAAAGGGAGAGAAATAATTTGTCTACACAAGTTTAATGGAATCTATTCATAGGTCATAATGATTTAGAATGGTCAGTCATTTATATAAAATTCTTCAATATTATGAGTATTTATTTAAGTGGTTTCATATATTTCAAGCCCTTAGATAGAAGGGTAAGCCTAAGGGTCAACAGGGCAGAAAGAGTATGTGAAAAAGAATATAGTATAACCTTGTAGGTTGATTAAAGGCTTTTATTGAACTACTTTAATATGTCTTTTAAATATTAAATCATTAACTCCAGTGCATAGATCCTTTGTATCCAACATGTAGAGAGAACCTTATTTGAGAATTTTATGAAGATATTCTTTTTTTTATAATGTCTGTTTTGTGTTCTCTTTTTATTTGTGTACATGCTGTGGCAAAATTGCACCAGAATCCACAAAAGGTATAATATCCTTCCAAGGAGAAAAAGCAGCAATGCGGAATGTTTTTTGAGGAAACAAATATTAACCATGTGATAGATTGTCTTGCTTTGTTCATTTCTCCATCTTATTATTAAAAATGTGATTTCAATAGTTGATAAAGTTCAAACTTTTAACATAACATTAAAAGTCAGGTCGGTATCATCTGAGTTTAGACCTTTCCCTGATACTCCTCCTCATGTCCTCTATCATGCAGGAAAATAAGCTGTATACTTCAGTTTGGCCTCAAAACATCATCCACTCCTAAAGTGACTTCAGAAGCAATCTCCAAAGCATTTCATAGATCTTGTTACAGTTTTTTTCAAAAATTCACACATTGCTGATTAACTTAACCATTCATATAATGACTTATTTGCTGATATTAACATTCCCTCATCTTAGGAAAAATAACACTAAGAACTTATTATCCACAATCCACATACTTCTTTTATATATTACTAGATTAGAAAACTTTAATTGGATGTATATCTATGCATATATTTTCTTATCTTATAGACAAAATTTCAAGAATTGCAAACAAATAGCTTAAAGCTGTACTTCTGATTTCTTCAGTACAGCCCAGGAAAGAAGGAATGAAGGAAGGAAGGAAGAAAAGATGGGAGGAAAGAAGGGAGGGAAGGAGTGACGAAGGGAGGAAGGAAGGAAGGAAGAGAGAGGAGGAAAAGAGGAAGGCAGCTAGGAAACAGGAAGAGACAGAAAGTAGTCAAAGACAAGATAAACCCTGTAAAGGAATGCCCTCACTGACCTACTTCCTCCAACTAGGACCCACCTCCTAGTTCCAATCACCTCCCAAATGCCATCAAACTATGAACCCATCAATGAATTATTCCATTGGTTAGATCAGAGCCTTCACAATTCAATCACCTCTCAATGAATGCTACAAGCTGGGACCAAGCCTTCAACAAACAAGCCTTTTGTTTTAGGAAGACATTTAATATTCTAAAGATAACAGGTACTAGCTTGTCAACATTAGTAATTTTGTATGATGAGTGGATAAATGAAAAGAGATATGTAATGATGTACATTAATACTAATTATCAATGTAATATAATGCTAAATGTAATGGTCTTAAAATGTTTTTTATTTTAAGAATAATCCAAATCAAAAGTCACCCTGTTCTTTATATTTCTTACTTCTGTTATACTCTCTCTCCCTCTCAGTTGTACAGTGCATGTTGGGTGGCTGGGTCTATTACAAAAAAGTTCTCTAAGATTTACAGCATGAAAGTTAACAGGATCCCACAAGTTGATATACTCAAATGAATTGCCTCTGTTCATTGATAGCTTTGGGCTTGTTCTATTCTCTGTGATTTGAACTTTGTCCTTTACATACAACAAACATCCCATTTAAAATAGTCAAAGACTGAGTCTATCATACACCAAAACATTTTGGCTAAAAGATGACCACATCCTCCAGATATCTGTAAATATTGGAATGTTCAGTACAGCACTAAAACTTTTCTATATTTTAGTGCTTTCTAGATTTTTCTCTGTCTCTGTCTCTGCCTCTGCCTCTGTCTCTGCCTCTGTCTCTGTCTCTCTCTCTTACTGAACGAAAATTTTCCAAAGGTAAAATTGAGGCAGAGTTCACAACTTTCTGTTGTATTATAAGAAGAAAACAAAAATAAGTGCTATTTCTTTTCACCATTATGTGCAAAAAAGGAGACATCTCATTTTACTAACAAAATGGGCAGAAAGATCAAAAACCAAAAGATAATATTTAGAGCTGAGTAAACTTACCAAAGGGAAAAGTCAAATTATTTTCAGTTTAAATTTCTTATTATACCAAGTACTAGTTTTTATAGTTTTCTTCACAGACAATTAGTATCTTTCCACTGGCTGATGTTTGGCCATTTCTGCTGTAGTACACACTGTGGATGATGAACTTTGCTCTTACATTTTGGTACACTGCATTTTGTCAGTACATAGATAGAGCCAATTTCAGGGGTTGTCTATGTCCTCTTAGCTATTTGGTGATTCTGAGTATATTCTATCAATTTATAAATTTGGTAAATATTGCTTGACTATGTTTATAAAACTATTTCCTAATTTCAGTAACAGTAATCCTGAAAATACTCAACAAGTTTACATATCCTGAACTGAAGTGCACTTGCCTTTCCTACCCTCTCTAGCCTGTAGCATATGCCACATCAGTCTCAAAAGTGCAGCCCTTACCTTTGGCTAGAATATTTTTATTTCCAAATTCTTCTTCCAGATTATCTTTTTGTAATTGCAGATGGTCTTATCTCTAATGTCTCTGCCCCACTGAATTTATGTGAGGACTCCTCTCTGCTGGATGCTTTTTACTAATAATTTACATGCATAATCAATATTTGAATTAGACTCCCCAAAAAAGATAGAAGATGCCCACACTTAGGCTTTGGGTAGAGATCCATTCTCAGTCTGAGGCTAGAAATCTGTGTCCCACTGCTTGTAATGAGGAGTCCCTATGGAAAGTAAGTTGTTCACAAACAAGTGGTAGTGCAGATTTGTACCACTCAATGGTCATTCACCAACTAATTCAAAAAAACACATATTCAGTAACAGATAGACATTAGTTAAGGAGTATATGGAGTATGAAGAGTAATAGAACCTTGATGGAAAGGCAGACAAATGTTCTTTGGAGAAGCAAAAACTAAATCAACAACAACTGTAAAAAGAGGACTACAAGAGCTAAGGGAACCAAAAGAAGAGAAATTCCACAAGGAGAAATGGATAATCTTCAGAAAAGAAGCTTGGCAATTAAACCTGGCCTTAAAAAATTTATAGAACTTTCACCAGAAAAATGAGATGTGCCAGAACATTTCATTCACAGGACATGCATGAAGAACAGAAGACAGTAATAAAGAACCACATTGTAAAAGACCAACATATGCCAAAAACTGCTTAATGATGTATATGAATATTCATTTATGCCTCACTGTACAGTGAGGTGGAGATTCTCAGTTCCATTTTTCTCACAAGGAGATTGATTCAAGTTATCTATTTCCATCTGGCACCAAAAGTCAAGTTCCTCCTGATTTTTTCCATACTGTCTTTAAGAAGGGCACACTTTAGTGAATATTAAGAATATTAAAAACTGATTATTAAAAAGTTTGGTTACCTCTCATTACCACATAACTCGCTTTAGATAACAGCCTCTTTCGATATCTATATTATTTTATTTGCTGTGAACTTGGTCTTTTTGCACAATAGTAACTCTGTGGGCAATCATATCTACAACTATAGCCTTGACCATGAGCAGCATTTTGACATGTCTGAAATGGATTTCTTCTGAGACAGACTATCCCCAAAGGCCAGACAAAGGTTTCTAGAACCTTTTCAGATGTTGCACAAGCATCTCAGAGTCTGTTCAACTTACACGAAACTCACTCCCTTTTCTTCTCATTACTGACATCATCAAATTTCTGTATGTTTTAAGTTAGCTACAAATATCCACTTATCCAAAGAGCTTCACGCAAACCAGAGCCTCTTCACCATCCACAGATCCAATTTATCACTGTTGTTTTGCTTAACACAATAATTTGCACTGTGTTTTGCTTTGCTTACATACAGTGTTATAGTTTGAGTCCCCATAATATCTTCCCTGAATTATTGTAACTATCTTCTAACAGAACTTCCTCTCTAGATTTATATCAACAAGCTATGCAATGCACTTCCTCCAGAGTAGACTTTCCACAAAACAAATATACTTTCTGCTCGTCAAAGATGACAAGAATAAAGACATTTTTATTCTATCCTCCTTCCTGAATCTCATGGTGGGAAAAAAAGAAAAGTACAAAGAGGAAGATATACATGCATTAAATGAAGAGAGGAAAATTAGCAATGGAATATTAATATTAAGAGAATGTATGAAATACAGAGAACCTTGAAGCATTTTTATATAAGATGCTGAAATCTGGTATATAGCTATCTAGGTAGGATAGAATTAGTAAACACAGGGATAATGAGTCATAGATATTTCATCCACAAATACTTTTATTAAAGAAACAACTCTAGAAATCTCTGTGGCTATAATATTATTGGAAAATGTGCATACACAGCATTAATTATGCATGCATTTTTTTCTACTAAAAGATACTTTAGTAAATACCCATAGAGGTAAAGTACAGTGAAGGCAGGAGTGAATCCCAAACTATTCCATAGTTTGTCCCTTATGAGATTTCATGAGAATCACACCAAACATCAAATAATGGAAAAAATGAAGTGAGGTGTATTCACATAAGAAAATACAAGACAGATTTTGCGACGTGTTTCCAAGTTAAAACAGTACTGGCAAGCTGTGAGATCCAGCTCAGTGACTCATTGTCA